ATGCCTATATATATATATATATATATATATAAATAGGCACTACTTTAACGACAAGACAAGGTGATGTAGTTGTTTAAAAAAAAAAAAATGAATGATAAAGAATAGCATTGACAGCAGCAACCGTTGTCCCTCCAACATGTTTATGGCCCGAGTATCAAAATAATCTCAGAGAAGTAAATACAACTTGAGAGGCCGTTCATGTCCAATTTCTGATCAGGAAACTCATATTTATGATAATTCTGATAGCATGTGAAGGCAGCGTAAGCGTGCTCCGGACCGGAACGTGAAGTGCAATGCTCCCGCAGGCCAGCGGGGGACCGCCGCTTCTGTGTAAAACTGCTGAATGTTCGAGAGCTGTATGCTGGGGTGAATTATTTCAGTGCGTTTCTCCTGCTATGACGGATGCCTGAAGACTGTAATCAGAATTCATATGACGCTTGGAAACGATCCATTATCCTGTGTAGGCATGGGACGATAACCGGTTTCAAGGTATACCACGGTTTGGAAAAGTCGCGGTTTCAAAACCACTAAAATTTTCCGTTATACCGTTCCTGCGGTATGCGCAGTTTTTTTACGTGTCGTCAAAGACGGAAAGTGCAGGACTCCCTCAGTTGTGTGCAGCGAAGAGCGAAATGTTTGGGTTATTTTTTCCTTTGTTTGTTTGTTTGTTTGTCATTGGACTTGACAATTTGGCCAACATTTCGTGACTATATATCAGTATGGATATAATAATAAAAATACATATTAATTAATAGTAATAAAATTAAATAGTAATAAAATATTACTAAATATAAAAATGACAAAAAAAAGAAAGAAATCCATAAAATTAAAATAAAACATTACTGTTGTAATATTTCACTGTATTTATGAAATAAATGATAGATGAAATAGATGATAAATAGATGAAATATTATGATAGATTTATTTTAAATTACAACTGTATAATTACTATACTAATATTTATGTCTTTAATTTTTATTGAAATGTGTTTTGTTTGTTTGTTTTTGTTTTTTGTGGTTTTTGCTGTATCGTCTAGTCTGTGTCTGTGCTGATACTGTGTTACTGATTTCAGACTGGTTTCGCGCTGAAGTTTAGTTCAGTATCCGTTGAATCTGATAAGATTTGTTGTGGTTGCTGTGCACAACATTGATTCGCTCCGTCTCGTCGGTCAGATCGCAGGACTTTGTTTGGTTCCTGCAGGCGAATGAGGGATCGCTGTGATGACGATCTCACCTGACGACACGCTTTAATCAAACCCTGTGTGTTTCTGCTCTGGATTATTCACAGTGTTATTTCTGGGACTGAAACACGCATGTGTCTGACTTCAGTTTAAACAAGCACAAAACAGATTTTATTCATGTCTGTGTTTGTGCATTTATGGACGTGTTTTGGACTCATTTGTCAGATTGGAGTTTGTTTGCATGCGAGGAGCACAAAAGATCAGCAGAGAGGAAGTCAGAAACATGCAGTGGTTTGGTGGAGAATGGTGTGCGTCTCAAATCTGAGCTGGTTTGTTGTCACCACATCAACAGCTTGAGAACGGCTGACTGCAGCGTTTTTTTTATGTGTTTTGACGCTTTTATCTTCCTGTGTGTATGTAAATGTGCTGAGCGCTCAACCTGATGCCTTCCTAAAAACCACAGCCACAAACACTTCATGATTATTCAAATGTGACGGTTTAAGTGCAGGTTAATTTTAATTATTATAACTTTTTTTAAATATGAAACCACTGCCATATACAGCTTCAGAGTTGTTGCTTTATTTCATAAAATCCCCCTTTGTTTCATAACCCTCCTTCAAGATTTTTAGCATCATTTCTGAGCACAAAAAGCGATAGATCTGTCAAGCAATATATTACGAGAGAGTCGTGTGTCACGACTGAGAATAATAAACCACAAAGTTGACAAAACAATGCACTCTGTGCTGCGCGAGAGGCTTCTCTGCTGTCAGAAACTTCCTATTTCCCACTTATGAAGTCGTTATTACGAGCTCATTGCATTCAAACGATTTGTTGTCGGAAAGAATAAAATGTAATATTCCACTGGTTGATAACCATAAACATTCACTGCGCTAGATAGTCAGCTTGATACGATTCTGGAATTTCGGTCAAGTGCATGCTTATTTCACTGTTTATATACATACAATATGCTTCAAATGCCTATATATATATATATATATATATATATATATATAAGTGCAGGACTCCCTCAGTTGTGTGCAGCGAAGAGCGTAGCGAGTCACACGACCCCTCAGCCCCTCCGGTTGGTGCGAGCGGAGGCACCTGTGTATAGAATGGCCGAAGGAGATGAATCCCTGGAACTTTTTCCCCTGTCGAAAAAGACGAAGTCTGTCGTGTGGGAATTTTTCGGGTAACGTAGACTAACCATGTTCCGTACACAATTATGTTCCGAAAAGATTTCGTTTTAGCGCCGATCGCTAAATAAATACTTCCAAGTCGAACATAAACTATATATCTCTGTCATCTTCGGTTTTCTCCCTCTTTCACCCCCGATCAAGACCGAGACCCACCCGCCGTTTGTTTCAGTGTTGAAATAAATGCTATTTGGCTTGCTACCGAGGCAGATAACATGGCTAATTAACTAGCTAACGTCAACTAGTTTCCTCCCTCACG